TAATTATCTATATTAAAATCATCAAACATTTTTTCAAAACTTTTATATTTTTTTCTTTTATTTTTTTTTTTTAAACAATAAAGAGAAACAATGATTTTTACAACAATAAGAAATGCAAAATCATGAACATGTTCGATCGAGCATTTTATGCTTACTGTTCAAATAATTTAATTAAATTATTAAAATGAACTTGTCGAATTTATGGAATATTCGAAATATATTCGAGATTTAGCTGAAAAGCTGTTATTGGTATTGAGATTGAAGACTTGTTAATATTTTGAAAACCGTTTTATTTATCATTTAATAATAATGGAAAAAATTTCTTTGGAAGCTTTGATGGACACACCGCTGAAAAATACTGTATTGGCGCTAAGAAATCGCCGAACAGCAATTAGTCACCATCAACATCTGAATAAAAAGGCGATAGATAAAATGTTTCCAAGGATACCCTGTCAACTTGATGGTTGCCTTGTCGAATTATCGAGGACCAGTTCCTTAGTTCAACACCTAAAAAAACAGCATCGCAATTTTTGCCAACATTTTTTGTAAGTTTCATCAATGATGTGAATTCACTTTTATCTCATTCTGAAAAATTCAGTGCGAAAGCTTCGTCATCGACAAATATTTCTGTCCAGCCACAATTGATTGTAACAACAGTAGAGGGTCAAGAAGAAGAAATGGAAGTAATTCCAACAATAATGAATGACCAAGATGGAGAAATTGATGATTTACCTTCAATAATAAATGACCAAGCTGACGAAATTGAAACAAATGACATTGACCAATTAACACTATTCGATCAAGAAAACAATAATGAACTGGAGAAAATTTTTGCCGAATTGTCAAGTAAAAATCATCCTTTGGCACCAAATTCATTTTATATGACCCATGTAGCGCCATTGGAAAACGGTAAAGATTCAAATGAATACTTCTCCGTAATTAATTTTTTAATTTGAAGATGATAGAAAATTTCTTCATCGATTCATTTCACGATTGGCCGAAGTGAGAATCAACAATAATATGTCAGATAGTCACGCTGAAGAATATGGAAAAATAATGGCTGATTTTTATTTGGAATCTATTTCTTGTCCCGCTCCACTCCATTCGATCATGAGAAAATATTCTGGAAGCATTTATTTGCAAAATGAATTTTTAAAAAAACAAAGTTCTTTCTTAGAACCATTGTCTATTACACATTGTGATATACCAATTCAATATTTTCCTATCTCAAGTCTAGCTAAAATAATACTCGAGAAACATCCATATCTAATTGATCGTATTGAAAATGAAGAAAAGCTGAATTTTATTTCAGAATCGGATCGACAAAATCTCCCAACGAGTTTGAATTTCAAAAACGAATTGGACACAATTGATGAATCCATATTCGATCGTTTAAAAGGGCGTTTCCGGATTGAAATATCAATCGATGATTTTTCATTTAATGGTAAATATGGATATCCATATCATTTATTTTGCTCTGAATAACTATCTATTTTTAAGGCAAATGTGGGCGAAAATTCCTAGTCGGTTATATGACATGTTCGAATATTGAAATTGAAAAGCGAACCAAACGAGATGACATTCAAATGTTTGTCATGGCTAGAAGACCCAACGAAAAAAAAATGATAATTTCATGAATATTGTTCTTGAACCATTTGTAAAAGAAATGATGCATCTCGAAGAAAAAGGAATTGATATTGAACAACAAAAAAAAGATGGAACAAAAATAAACATCAAAGTTGGCATCTCCAAAGTCATCTGCGATAATTTGGCACAGAACGAAATTCGCGAATTCAAAATGACCTTTGGTGTCGGTAGCTTATGTGTTTAGAAAAAAAGAGAACGATATAAGATGAATAATTTCGGACATTCTTTATTTGATTATTCATTTATAACATACGATTATGAAAAACCCAGCAAAAAAATCATGGGAAAATGATTATGGCATAGTAAGACCATGCATATTAACGAAATTGAAAGAAGTGAACATCGGAAATATTATGTCGCCAGATTTATTTCATGATTTATACGGTAAGTTTGTTTGTGGATTGATTGGACGATTTATGATTTGTTTTTCAAATTTTTAGCAGGTTGTCATGAAATGATATTGAATGTTTTATTCATTTCTTCTCAATTGCATCATCGATTAATTATTTTAAAAAAATCGAAAACATTTTCCATTATATAACGGGAATGTAATGTGATAACTTTCAACAATCGAAAACATTTCTCTACTGGAATGCAAAAATATAAAGTTTTCATGCGTGTTCCTGAAATATTTTTTAATGATTTTTTTGTTTTTCATAATGATTCTATAATATTATATAATACTATGGCAAAATTCACCGGTGTTGCTGAACAGTTGAAAAATGTTAATTAAACAATTCTTTAATTGAATGAAGTCGATGTTCGAATGCTGGGCTGCGAATAACGGGTATAGCCATTCATGCTTATTTTTTCAACTGATTTCTGTTGTTATTCCGATCTCTTTTTTATAAATTGCAATAAAACTTTGTGACAATATTACACACCGGTCTGTCTAATAAATCATCAATAAATACATCAGAATTGAATAAAATGAATCATATTAATGAAACGATTATAAGTTCTTTTGTAAATTTATGTGTGTAAAATTTTTAAAATAAATTTAAATGTAACTTACATAATATCCTTCATTACTCACATGAAATTAATATGTATGTATCCCATTAAGTTTATGGTTCGACGATTCGTTTCGAGCGTTATCATCATTCCTAATTTTGTTTTTTGTTTACGATTTTGATTTTCCAATTTCCGATGAAACCAAAAAAAAGAAAGAAAAACAAAAGATCACCTGGTTATGATGATCATGATAATAATAATGATGATGATGGTGGTGATAATGGTAAATGGTAGTGGGCGGATCGTATCAATCGATTGATGGCGACAACGATTTTGGAAATCGAACTCACGAACCCTTTTTTTCATACTTGGAAAATTCATTTAAGAAAAAATTTATCATCAAATTCAGGTCACGAATTTTTTCTTTTAAACACATATAATTTGATTGATTGATTTATTTCCTTTTTCTTTTTATTTCTTGAAACAAAAACAAGGTGAAAACGTCAAAAACCTATTATCTACATAAATTTTCTTTGGTTTTTTTTTGATTGGGGTGTCCATTACCAGCCAAAACAACTGGTCAACCAACCAACCAACC